TTCTTAATAGTCTTTCTGAATTGGTTCTTGCTGGTATATGGAATCATATCTGACATTTGTGTAATCTTGAATATATTAAGCTTTCATAATTGTTATTCTTTTGGCGCTGGGTTTTTTTGTTTTTGTTTTTTTTAAAGACAGGGTCTCCCTGTAGCCCTAGCTGTCCTGAAACTCGCAATGTAGACGAGGCTGGCCTTGCACTCACAGAGATCCTCCTGCCTCTGCTTCCCGAGTGCTGGAATTACAGGCATGTGACACCACGCCTGGCTCATGGCTTTGGGTTTTGAAGCAAGGTTTCTTACTGTATAGTGGGGGCTTGCCTAAAATCTACTGTGAAGCCCAGATGGCCTTGAACTCATGGCAGATGTGAGCCACCATGTCTAGCATAGTGACTTTCTTTAAGGCCTTGTTAAAAAACCCTGGATAGTCTTGAATTCATAGCAGTCCTCTTGCCTTAGCCTGTGGCTGGCTTAGAACTCACCATGTGGGCCAGACTGGCCCATTCTCCTGTCTCAGTCTCCTGAGTGCTAGGATTATAGGTGCGTACAATTTGGCCTGGCCTTGCCTGACCCCCCCACCCCTTCCTGCTTTCCTTCCACACCCCCCCCATTCCTTTTCCCCTTCCTCCATCTCTTCCTCCGCCTTCCACCCTATGGGTTGACTTGGAAATCTTGGTTCATGTGATCTACCTGCCTCAGCCTTGAGTAGCTGGGACTATAGGCATGTGTCTCCATGCCTGGCTATTTTGTGCTTTTTTTTGTCTTTTTGAGACAGGGTCTCCCTATATCCCAGCTGGCCTGGATTTACTATAGAGACCAGGCTGGCCTCAAACTCACAGAGCTCTGTCTGCCTCTGTCTCCCGAATGTGGGGATCAAAGGCATGTGCCACCATGTCCAGCTGGATTTTTTTTTTTTTAATTGACAGAATCTCATGTAGCCCAAGCTATCCTTGAACTGACTATGTAGTCAAAGATGACCCTGAATTCCTGATCCTGACTCCTCCTGAATGTTGGGATTTTAAGCATGTATCACCACACCTGGATTATGTGGTGCTGAGGATGGAACCCAGGACTTCGTGCATCCTAGGCAAGCACTCTACCAACTGAGCCACATCTCGGCTCTTGTGGATTCTTGTGTGATTTTTACTATATAGGATCCTGTTACCTGCCAAAAAAGATAATTGTTCTTCTTTCCTTTCAATTTGGATGTCTTTTACACAGTTTGCCTTGCCTTGCCAAGGTGAAAAAATGCATTCTGGTCTTGTTCTTGACCTCAAGGGGAACCCCTGTGCTTGCTGAGGAAGATCCCTTCTGCTCCCAGAGTGCTGACTATCCCTATCCTGAAGGGCACTGGGTTCTGTCAAGTGCCTTTTCTGAGTCAACTGAGATGATTGTGCCATTTTTTTCCATTTTATTAAAGTAGCCTATTACATTGATCCATTTTCACTGATTGAACTTCAGTCTAAAGTGGTTTTATTTTTATTTCCATTAAGCTATAAATTCATAGAGAAGCCCAGCATTTGTGCGGGAATTCCTTTCCATTAGCGCTTCTCTGGGTGAGCAGCTGCCGCTTCAGTTGAACCCAGGTTCCCTTCTCTTTGGCTTCCTTTTTTCGCTGATCATTTTCCTTCAGCTGTTTCAGGAAGCTGTCAGCTCTTAGAGTGCGTCATATGCCCAGTGTGCACATTAATTCTCTTGGCCAGATTCCTGCCTTGAGCTTGCTTGTTTGTAGCAGTGCCAGCACCATGCTGGGGGACTCCAGACTCTTCCAGTTTTGCCATGGTAACTTTTATGAGACATTCCTTTTTGAGCAGTACCCATTCCTTTGATGTCTACAATACCTCCCTTCTTGTCGATTCCTATATATGTGGTCAAAGGAGCAACTCCTTGTTTTTTAAAGACCAGAGAACAGATACTGGCACCTCTCTTTTTCCTTTGTGTTTGTCATTTTAGCAAATTATTGGAGGTTGGCACCTCTGGCTGATAGCAGAACTGTCTTTATATTCACTTGGTCATAGTGTATACTTTTCCCCCTTTTTGAAATAGGCTCTGCTCCCCACGTTGCCCAGTCTAGCTTCAAATTCCCATACTTAAGCAGTCCTGCCTCTGCCTTCTGTGTATAGCCAATATTACAATAAATTTTAGACTGCTTTGGTTTCTTTTGATTTGGTTTAAAGTAGGATCTCACTATAATCTGTGCTAACCTGGACCTCACTATGTAGTCCAGGATGGCATCAGCCTTCTACATGCTGTGATTACAAGTGTAAGCTACCATGCCTGGCTCTCATTTTAGACCTTTTCTTTTTTGGAGACAGGGTCTCCTTGTAGCCCTAGCTGGCCTCGAGCTCGCTAGGTAGAACAGGCTGGCCTTGAACTCACAGAGATCTACCTGCCTCTGCCTCCCAGTGCTGGGATTACAGGTGTGCACCACCATGCCTGGGTATTTTAAACAATTTTTACTGTCCTAAAAAGGACCCTCTTTGAGCCGGGCGTGGTGGTACACGCCTTTAATCCCAGCACTTGGGAGGCAGATCTTTGTGAGTTCGAGGCCAGACTGGTCTACATAGTGAGTTCCAGGCCAGCTGGGGCTACAAGGAGGCCCTGTCTCAAAAAGATGAAAAAAAAAACCCACAAAGAATAAAGGACCCTCTTTCCATTGGCTCTCACTTTTCATCTCCAGACTCCTCCTTTCAGCCTAGAGAACCACTTTCCCTCTTCATAGAGTTACCCATTCTGGACATTTTGATTTTATTTTTATTCTGTGAGTATTTTACCTGCATGTATGCGTGTGTACCACGTGCCTGCAATGCCCATGGAGACCAGAAGAGTATGTTAGATTCCCCTGGATCTGAAGTTGTGAATGATTGTTAACTGCCACATGGGTGCTGGGACCTGAACCCAGGTCCTCTGCAAGAGCAGCCAGTGAGTATTTTTAACCACTGAGCATCTCTCCAGCCCCCTATTTTGAACATTTTATATAAATGGACATATGTATGGATTCTTTTCAACTTTAAACATGTCCCAAGTTAGAACTGCAAATCCATCCTGACATCCCTATCTTGCTGAGCATTGTAGCTTAGCCTGTAGGAACCAGTGGAGTGTGGTTGTGTGCTTTCGTGCTTGTGGGGCTGGCTGGGAGCCCTGCACATCAGAGTAGCCTGCTGTATACTGCCAGCCTGGGGAAAGGCCAAAGCTGGAAAAGGGAAGTATGCTTTCTACTGAATGTCTGTCACTTTCACTCTTTGAGACAGCTGAGTGTCATTGGTCTTTAATTTGTGGTCCTCTCTGATTGGCTTCTTGGCCTTAGACCTAAGTATGGTTCACCTACATTGTAGAATGAGCAGCAGTCCATCATTTCTTTTGCTGACCAAATAACATTCCGTCAGATGGATCAGCATGTTTTATAATGGACATTTGGATTGTTTCTACTTTTTAAGAAATATTTATTGCCGAGCATGGTGGAACACACCTGTAATCCCAGCCCTTGGGAGGCAGAGGCCGGCAGATCTCTTGAGTTCGAGGCCATCCTGGTCTACATAACGAGTTTCAGGCCAGCTGGGGCTGCAGGGAGACCCTGTCTCAAAAAGACCAAAAAAAAAAAGTGTGTGCGTGTGTGTGTGTGTGTGTGCGCGCGCGCGCGCGTGTGCGTGTGTGTGTGTGTGTGTGCGCGCGCGCGCGCGTGTGCGTGTGTGTGTGTGTGTGTGCGCGCGCGCGCGCGTGTGCGTGTGTGTGTGTGTGTGTGCGCGCGCGCGCGCGTGTGCGTGTGTGTGTGTGTGTGTGCGCGCGCGCGCGCGTGTGCGTGTGTGTGTGTGTGTGTGCGCGCGCGCGCGCGTGTGCGTGTGTGTGTGTGTGTGTGCGCGCGCGCGCGCGTGTGCGTGTGTGTGTGTGTGTGTGCGCGCGCGCGCGCGTGTGCGTGTGTGTGTGTGTGTGTGCGCGCGCGCGCGCGTGTGCGTGTGTGTGTGTGTGTGTGCGCGCGCGCGCGCGTGTGTGTGTGTGTGTGTGTGTGGGCGCGCGCGCGCGCGCATGTATGGAGGTATGGAGGTGGGATGACAGCCTGTGGGAGTTGATTTTCTCCATCCACTATGTAGGTTTTAGGAGCTAAGCTCAGTACCCACTGAACATACTTTGTGTGTTGGTGCTCATTGAGGTTATCACAAGACCTCTGCTCTGTCATTCTCCACCTTATCCTCTCGAGGATCTCTTACTGAACCTGGAGCTTGCTGGTTTTGGTTAGGCTGGCAGCCAGCAAGCCCCAGTGATCCTTCTTTCTCTATCCCTCACCTCTCCCCAGCATTGAAACATTGGTTACAGGGACACATACAGTCATACCTGGCTTTTACATGGGTGCTTAGGATCCGTACTCGGGTCTTCATGCTTGAGCAGCAAGCCACTTACCCACTGAGCCATTTCCTCAGCCTGTTTCCCCTATTTGACTGTTAGGAATAATGTTCCTGTGGACGTTGGAATGTAAGTTTGCATGTGGAATGTGCTTTGCTGTGCCATTGAATTCTCAGCAGCCCTCCCCTCTGAAGAGCAAATCCCTGTGGAGTGTGACTGTGTATGTCAAGAATGACCAAATGACAAATGGAAAGGGTCAAGGGTGCTTGAAGGGTAGGCAGTGGTTATTCCCTGCCTGGCACGTGTTTTGATATCCGATCCCCCTGCATGACTGTATCAATCAATATCAGCCCACGGGATTCGAGTGTTTAAAGGCCCAGGAGTCCCTTAGGACAGTCCATGCTGGCAAGGGTAGCTTGCTGGTGCCACATGCTGAGGCAGCTGGTGCCTGGGGCACTGCCAGGCATGACCTGTGGATCACTTAGGCCCAGCCCAGTGCCCCAGCCTGCGTCAGCAGGGGCCACCTTCAAGACTCCCCTGGGAGAGGCACTTGTCTACCTTCCTCCTGTGGTGCCCCTGTGAGTCACTATCATCCTGGGCCACCTGCCTACCAGGACACTGTTCAACTTTGCCCTGACCTTCTCTCCTCCTACCTCATTTCAGGAGAATACATCAAGACCTGGAGGCCCCGGTACTTCCTTCTGAAGAGTGACGGCTCTTTCATTGGGTATAAGGAGAGGCCCGAGGCCCCTGACCAGACCTTACCCCCCCTAAACAACTTCTCTGTAGCAGGTGCGTTTCAGGCCAAGCAAGCCGAGGTTCCAGAGTGCAGAGCGTGACTGGCAGGTGCTGGGGGCACATGGGATGCAGTTATTCCTCAGCCAGAGCCTATCCTGGACTTCTTGGCCCTCAGCTGATTCTCACTTTCTTTCCCTGGCTATCGCTCCTTGTCAGAGGGCCCCATGGGGTTACTCTGGTAGGTGGTGAAAAGTGAGAAGCCAGGGTGTTTCTGCACACCCCACCCTTAACAATCCTGTGTCCCATCCTGCTCTGTTAACACGTCTCTCCTCTCTCTCTATCCTAATTAAATAGACCTTGGCTTCCCATAGTCCCAGTTGATCCAAGGCTCACCTCATGTGCTCAGTTCCCTCTGTGGTACCTAAAGTGATTATTTCTAGGTAGACCAGCTTGACAAGCCCAGGAGCCCTACTGTGCTCCCAGCCCGCCTTCCTTCACCTCGGACCTGATATCATGTCCTTGTCATACCTGCCAAGAATGTTTCATAGGCTTCCCCATTTCCGCCACTACCATGTCCCCAGAGCCCATCTTCTCTGCAGTCCCTTCTGCTTCTGCCTCAGCCTCTCCCTTCCAGCTCTGCCTCCCTGCAGTCTGGAACCCAGCCCAGGGCCCACGCTGTTCTATAGAAAGCCTTCTTCTGATGTCTCTCTTCATGTGCCCATGGTCGTGGCACATTTGTTTCTATCTCCAGCTTCTCACTTGAGCTGCCAACCTGTCTCTAGCAGCTTCTTGAACATTCTTCCCTGGGTCACCTCTAGGCCCCTCATACCTGCCATGTCTCAAGCTGACCTTCCTGTCCCCTGCACCCTAGCCTTTCTCTTCCTCCTACCTCCATCTCAGGCAACCCTGTTTTGCCCTTGATCTCTGGAAGGGACCTGGTTCTGGTCAGGATGCCTCTCCCTGCCCTACAGCCTGCTGCCCTTTCCACCCAGCCCGGTTCCACTCTGTTGTAGCCCATTCCATCCTCCTCTGCCAAATCTCTGCTGCCACCTCTGGCCTCCAGCCAGAGTTACTGTTTCAGTCTATGCCCCTTCCATGGCTCCCTGTGGCTCCAAGGACAGAGTCTAGATTCCTCAGTATGGCTTCTAAGGCCCTGCCTAGTTAGCTTGGCCCACTTCTCTAGGCTTATCTCATGTCTCATGCCCCTCTCTTTGCACTTGGAGCAAAGTGGGCCATCCTTTGCCAATGTGGGGCCTCTTTTTCCTGTGGGCTGTTTTATATTGTGTCACTCTGTCTGATTGACTTACCTTCCGTGCTTAGTTCAGAGATGCCCCATCCTCAGGGCCGCTCTCCCTAATGCCTCAAGCTGGGTTGGTTACCCTGGCTTTTCCCATCTGGCCCTCATTCCTGAGTTGCCACTGGTGGTCTGGCCTTCCACACAAACTGAACCTTGAGTCCTGTGAGGGCAAGGCCAGTACTCTCAGTCCCTGGCACCTTCTGATATGAGGCTTGACATACAGGAGGTGATTTGGGGAATATGAAAAACAGGCAGCAGGACCATCCTCTCAGTCTGTCCTTCCTGTTCCTGCAGAATGCCAGCTGATGAAGACAGAGAGGCCACGGCCCAACACATTTGTCATACGCTGCCTACAGTGGACCACGGTCATTGAGAGGACCTTCCATGTAGATTCTCCAGATGAGAGGTGAGTCTGGGCTTCTGTGCAGCTGCCCTCTGGGAATGGACAAGCCTATTGTGAGGGAAAGGGTGCAGGTGACAGAATGCTCTGGGACCCTGTGTCGGAATTGTCCACCTCAGCTCCTCTGGTGTGGGTTCTCCCCAGATGGAGCTGAGAAGATCTGGGCTTCTTGGTTTGAAGACCCCTACTCTGTGTCTTTAGATTTTGGAGGACATCAACGTCCTGGGCAGAGCTTGTTCACGACTTGGAGATTTGCAGAGGGTCAGCAGGCTGCATTCCAGTTGAGCATTTTTATTGATTCTGAGGCAGTGGTCCAGAGAATAAGTTACAAAGGTTAGTTTAGGGGGCTGGAGATGTAGCTCAGTTGTTAGAGTGTTTGCCCAGCATGCATGAGGCTTTAGGTTCTATCTCCAGTACTACGTAAACTGGGCATGGTGGCACATCCCTGTAATCCCAGCACTGGGGAGATGGAGACAAGGGGGTCATCGTCAGCTACATAGAAAGTTCAAGGCCAGCCTGGGATACATGAGACCTTGTCTCAACAAAGCAAAGCAAAACAAAAACAGTCAATTTAGAGCCAATGATGCATGCTTGTAATCTCAATACTTGGAAGGCTAAGGCAGGAGAACTGCAAGTGAGTTCAAGTGAGTTCAAGGCCAGCCCCAGTAACTAAGACTTGTTTTGAAAGACAAAGGGAAGCTGGAGCCATAGCTTGATGCAAAGCATTTGCCTGGCATGCATTAGGCCTAGATTCTACCCATAGCACAAGGGTGGGTGACGCTGAGCAAGTAAGAAACTGTGTGAAGGGAGGTGTCTGAAAGCCTCAGGCTCATGCCCGCTCCATCTGTGCCATCCATGCAGCCCCTCCCCCAGCCCCAGCTTGCTGTCCCTCTCTGTGCCCTGCAAGAGTTAATGGAGACTGGCGCCCTCTGCCCTAGAGGTCACGTTGCACCACACTCTGAACTCACTGTATTCACTGAACGAATGGTGTGTCTTGAGTCCTTTCTACTTTAGTATATAGAGAGCGGCTGTTGCTCTGATGTTCTTTTGCAACAGCTGCACATGGGTTCCCTGAGCCTGTTTAGCAGTTCTTTAGGCATGGTAATGGTGTTTCCAGCCTTGGGCTCATTATGGGCAGTGTTGCTGTGGAATACCGCATGTCTCTCAGTTCACATGTGTGCAGGCTGATCCATAGGATGCATTCTTGGGGAAAGACTGAGGGCCACAGGAGTACGAAGTCCTAATTTTGAGAGGTTTTTCTGTCAGGTGATGTCACCACAGTCAAACCCTTAGATTCTTAGCAGTCTGGGCTGAGGGATATTTTCTTTTTCCTGTGGATGAGTTTGACCTTCAGGAGTTTCGTTTTCTGAGCTATCTGTTCATCTTATGCTCTCTTTTCCTCTGTTACAGGCCTGGTCTGTTTTTTCATTTATGTATGAAAGCTCTTTATGTATTGGAGAACTTAGCTCTTTGCAGTCTGGTACATGTTCTCCCTCCCACTTTGTCCTTTTGGACTTTGAGGAACATTCCTCCTGCTCATCCATGGGCAGAGCTGTCCCTGTGGAAACCTAAAACAGGGCCATCCTAGAAAGTTCCGCACATAGCCCTGAAGAGGATCTCTAGCTGTGGTGCCTATTGAGCATTTCAGGTGTAACAGTAGGAGAACAGAATTTTTACTTTGTTTACCCTTTTTATTTTTTTATTTTTATTTTTTAATATTTTATTTTATGTGTATGCGTGTATTGCCTGCATGTAGGTAAGTGCACCCATGTCATGCAATGCCCACGGAAGACAGAAGGGGCTGTTGATACCCTGGAACTGGAGTTACGGACAGTTGTTAGCTGCCATGTGGGTGCTGGGATTCGAACCCAGG